CTTTTATCATATTATCGCAATCTCTGAAACCTGGCTTAAACCTTACATCCCATCCTCTTCTGTTTCCTTGCCTAATCACACCCTCCTCCGTCATGACCGGGTAAGCCAGACTGGCGCAAGAGTGGCCATGTTTGTCCATAATAGCCTGAAGACTCGAATCCTCAATTCCTCACCACCCTCCGATCATCCTCAAGTTGAATATCTTCTAGTAGAAATCCATTGTAAGGATCTTCCTCTCCTTTAGACTGTGGTATATCGTCCTCCCCATGTACCATTTGATCAGTCCTTTGAATCAACCCTATTCAACTTCGTTCCTCTATATCCCACAATAATCATCTCCGGTGACCTCAATACCAATTTCCTCTCTAACTCCAATGACAAATCATATCTAGAAAACCTAATTTTCTCTCTGCACCTCTTCATCGTACCATTTTCCCCCACCCACCACACCAGCAGGTCCGACACTTGGCTAGACTTCTACATTATAGACTCTGTACAAAATCTCCTCTCCTCTTCTCAATTACCAGTATCATTCCTATCATCTCACGATCTTATACAAATAACATATAATATCCGAACTCCTTCAATCCAGCCTCGAACTATCACCTTCCGTCACCTAGATACCCTTACTCGAGAAAAAATGTTACCTGACCTAGAAACCCTAGATTGGAATGGAATATATGCTTGCTCTTCTATCGACTCCATGGTTGAGATTCTTACCACCAATCTTCTCAATATTCTCAATACCCATGCTCCCCTCAAAACCTCTACCTTTCGTCACCGGCCTGCTCCTTGGATGTGTCAGGAAATCAAAGATCTGCAGAAGAGGCGCGACGCTGCAAGAAGACGTTTTAGACGTACTAGGCTCGCAGATGACTACCAAGCGTTTAGGGTGCTTCGCAACTTGGCACAGACAAGGATCCGGCATGCGAAAGGTTTCTACTTTCATGAAACCCTTTCCTCAGCTCCTGATATCGAATCAAAATGGCTACTGCTTCGTAACCTTTCCATTTGTAATCCTTCCAGATCCCCTACCGCAGCCTTTCCTGTATCCTCCGATGATTTAAACTCTTATTTTATATCTGTCGCTAATACCTCTTCTCTACCTTCCTCTTCCAGCTTTTCTCCAGAAATATCCTTTAATGACAATAACTTTTATTTTTCCGATATTTCTCCCACAGACCTGTTAACCGCGGTAATGAAATCCCACACCAATTCCATAGGGCCAGACGGCATCCCTGTCAAATTAATAAAAATATGTCTCCCTGAAATCCTTCCAGCTCTCCTTTTTATCTACAATTTCTCCCTTCAGAATTCAGTATTCCCTACCTCTTGGAAAAAAAGCCATTGTTCTTCCTTTAAATAAAAAGCCTAATCCATCCTCACCCGAAGATTTCCGTCCAATTTCAATTCTTTCTAACCTCTCAAAGCCTCTTGAAAGACTAGTGCAATCCCAAGTCTCCAAGTTCCTCGAAAAGTCCAACCAATTTGATCCTCTCCAATCTGGTTTCCGTCCCGGCTATTCCACACAATCTGCCTTGATTAAAATTACCAACGACATTCAATCTGCAATAGATGATAGAAAATTAACTATCCTTATACTCCTCGACTTCTCCAAAGCCTTCGATTCCATCAACCATTCTATCCTCTTCAACAAACTAAAATCATCATCTTTTTCCAATAGTTCCATCTCTTGGTTCCAATCTTTCCTCTCCCAACGCACCCAAGCAGTCTCCATACCCAATCAACCACTATCTGCCTACCTTCCCATTTATCCTCCGGAGTTGCCCAGGGTTCAAGCATATCTCCTCTCCTTTTCAGCTCCTACATTAACGACCTTCATAATTCAATTCTCCATTGTTCTCACCACCTTTATGCAGATGATTCCCAGATCTACCTATCCTTTTCTCCCTCTGAGTTACTGGTAGCATTTGCCAAGATTCAAGAAGACCTTGATCGAATCAGTGCCTGGGCAAATGTAAATGGATTAAAGTTAAATGCTGCCAAAACTCAGGCCATTGTCATTGGTTCCAAGCCCCTTATTAGATACCATACTGACTTTCCCATATTACACCTTAATGACCAGCCAATTTCCTTCTACTCCTCTGTTAAAAATTTAGGATTATTCATAGATCAAACCCTCGCCTGGAACTACCATATTTCTCACATTTCCCATAGCACAATTTCTATCCTTAAACTATTTCATCGCTTCCGCCATCTCCTACCTCAACATACCCGTAGACTCCTAATTTCCTCCCTCATCTTCCCCCACTTTGACTACAGCTGTGTGGTGTATGATGGCCTCTCGGTGGAGCTCCGTGATAGACTGAAAAGATTAATGAATAGCTGCGTAAGATTTGTTATCGGAGCCCCGAGGTACTCCCATGTCTCTCACCACTACACTGAGTTAGGGTGGCTCTTCCCCTCCTTTAGAAGACAATATTTCCTAGGTGCGTTCCTCTATCAAATCATTAACAACCATCGTCCTTCTTACGCCTACAACCTTCTCCAATTCAAGTCCTCAGTCCATTCCCTTTCAACAAGATTTTGACCTTCTGTCCTCTACATCCCTTCGCACAAATCTCCCTCATTTCAGAATTCCTTTATAGCTCGCGCTGTCAATTTCTGGAATTCTCTACCTATCAAAATTCGGCATTCCCCCTCCATATCCACATTCAAACCCCTCCTATTCCAATTCCTATCCCAAAAACAGTCGGATACTTGCTAAACTTTCGATATTATACATTTCTAGTCATCATCAAACGATAGTGCTTTTCTATACTGTGAACCCCACTAGGGATATTACAATATTTTCCGGCTCTTAATACCACTGACTGCATCTATTGTTTGCTTTTTTTATTTTTACTTTTTATTGGTATATAATTAAATCTGTACCTCTAGCATTTGACAATGATGAGTCTACATATTAATCATTATTTAAAGACACTGATATTTTATATTGTCAGCTTTGTTTTTTCTTTGTTAGCAGAAACACACCTCATTTTAAAGAAGAACTCAATGTATTTTTTATTATTTTATTTTTTAAAAGAGTATAATTATAATTTTTCCTACTGTACATAGTCTTAAGTGTTTTATCATAGTTTTAAGTGTTTTGTATATAGCTTGTTTAACTAATATTTTCTTTACTTTCTCTTTTTTATTATTGTTTTATTTTGGCCAGATGTAGTATTTTAATTATGTTCTATTTTGTTATTCTAAAGGGACTTTGTCCCAGAATAAAGTTATTTTCTATTTCTATTTCTAATAAACCTACATCGTCCACTTAATATCATCCAAACTGTAATTGACCCCCTTTTAGCAGCATCTTGAAATATTCTGTTCATCTGTCTACTATACATTCATTTAGCTATATAATGGATACTGGTCCTTTTTATCTTTTCCGAGGTTTTGGCACTTCCTTTCTCGTTCGCTTACTGTATTTTTCCAATTTTCTGGTTCAATTTCGCGTTTTTCCTTATTTTGAAACCAAAAACAAACAATCAGTTCTGGTTTATAGAAGAACTTATAGCGTCACCCTTTCTATCTTCATTTGTGCAAAGAGAATAATTCCTTCAATATTAAAATTTCCTATTTATTTATGATATAGTCCACCTTCCGCACAAAATAAAGGAAATATAAATTAATTTTTTAATTAGTGATATATGAGTTTTACTAAACAACCCAGTAGCTATTTATTATATATAGTTCAGATTAGGTTATATTATTTTAGTCTATGAAACAGGTATTAATATGACTCATTTCCTGGAAAGTATATAAAAATTTTAATTACCTCTAAGAATCAATAAATATATAAAACACAGTGTTAAATTGCAAACGTTAAATAAAAAAAAAATCAAGATATTTAGCAAAGTATTTTTTAATTAATTTTTATTATTATCATTATATAATTTTTACAATTGAGGTCTTCTTAAATGACCTACTTATAGAATAAAGGATGTTAAATTTAAAAAAAATAATAATTTTTTTTTTTACGATTAAATTATTGCATTAATATTTGTTCGTTAATAAAACCAATATAATGTACCAAAAATGTTACTATATCACTATAGCTAAGCCATTTATGTGTACTGAATGGTGTGGTAGAGGCCTGTAGGCACCCACGCCAGTACCGCTTTTCTGCCGCATAAGTACATTTTCTACGGAACCGCTTTAAGTTTTTAAAAAAATAATCAGCGTTTTAGAAACAGAAATATATTCTCCAGATGTTTTATTTCAGCACGTTTTGCGTTATTGTTGGCCGTTTAATTACAAACGACGCTTGATTTGTAACTTGAAAATTTTTTTGTAAACAAAATTGACTTTACTGGTGTTTTTCGTAGCCTAAGCCAAATATTTTTCATGTTTTATTATTCAATGACTATTCAGCTTTAATAAAAGACCAACTATGAGGAAATTAAGCCAAATGCTAATTCTCAGTGACCAAAAAACTAACTAAAGTCAAAGTCGTCAATCCGCCATCTTTGGACGCCATTTTGGGGCAGTGCGTTCACTTTTTTTTGTGGGAACATTGGCTTTTTTTAAATAAATTGTTACAAGGAACACAACAATATGCAATTTATAGGGATGTGGGGGGGGGGGGGGTTGCCCGGTAAGGGGGTCTGGCCCACCGTGTATCACTTCTCAACACAATCCGCACTACTGAAAATTAGCAATGACATATGACATAAATAGAAAATCTTTGGGATAAACTTGCAAGTCTTGGAAAAGACTTTGGAAAGAAGCTAGATGAGTTATAATGAGCAGAATAGAATGGCACAAAGAAAATCAAGGAGATAATAAATTTTTACATTATATTAATAAAAAGAATTTCCAAGTATTAGTTAAGTTCCAATATTTTGTCAATTTTATTTTAATTCAAAAGAACATATAAACAAAAATTCCCATTTGTTTCTTTCTAACAGTTAGTTACTATCTTCTTTGAAAACAAATTAATAAAATAAGAAATAAATAATTTGTAAAAAAAATTCTAAATTACATACCTTCAGATTGAGCACTTATCAAAAGAGCTTGGCTTTCAACTTGTCTTTCTTTGAGTTGTTTAGCATCTTCTATATTTCCTTTTGAAGATGCTTTTTTAAATTCTTTCCAAATTTTATGATCCTTCTGTTCGCAGGAGGATAAATATGTTTTGGATTTATCTAATAACAATTCTGACTCAAGAATCCGTTCAAACTGAAGTTTGAATTTTTTTAACCCAGCTAGAATAATAAATAATCTAATATAGTATTATTATTTTTTTTAAATTGGCATAAAATAATGAGAAATACAGACATCTTAAATAAATAAATAAAAACTTAAGGGAACCAGCAGAAAACAACCAAATATAACAAAAACTGAAATAAGGACGATATAACACAAATTATAAGAATTGACAGACATTAGCTGCTAATAATTAAAAACTATTTGTAACTTCTTGTTTAATAATAAAATCTTTTTTTCTCTGTAAATGTGGAGGATTACATTCAGTAAACTCATAATGCTACCAATTTCCATGATAAAGAAGTTAGAGATAAATCACTAGTCATAGCATCTCAATGGACAAAGAACAATAAATGAAACTGAATATTTGTAAAATTATAACTCTATAATGTGAAAAATTTAATGTATCAACCACCTTTGAAGCACAAAAACTTACTTGGAAAACCAACAAACTATCTAATAGAATAATTGAAGTGTTTCTGTGCTAAGCGATTTAAGTCCCAAAAATACAAATTGATAGAAAAATAAAACAAAACTGTTATTAACTGAAGTATCTGGCAAATCTTGAACTAAATTAGAAACTAAAAGTATGTTAAGAAATTAAATATGTACAAGAAACTCAAGCACAACAACATAATATCAATAAATAAAACTATGGATAACTTTAAGAGAAATGGGTTGTGGTTGTTAATGCCAGCACCAATCAACTGTATATATCCCTTTTGAACTACAAGGAAATTTTTATTTGACTTACATCAGGGTGTACTGCATTAACGATTGTTTCTAGCTCACTATGCATGATTTTATTTTTTTAATAATGTGTTGGCACTTAAATCACCTTGACTAGAAAATCTCTAATTCAGTTAACTTACCAATAAATTCAAGCTGAACTTCAGACCATAAATAAAACACATCTACTAAGATATGAAATGTTTCTTGCAGTGCAACATTTGTTTCTTTTGTAGCCCATTTCGCCATATCTTCCCAAGTTGTAGCTTGGGCCAAATGAAAACTTTTGAAGGCTGATCTCATTTTTCCGATATCTGAAATGATCATGTTTAGATCACTATGTCCAGTGTTAAGGCATTTAAGTTTCACACTACTCCTAAAAGAAATTGTAGTTTCAACATCAATGAAAAACAATTACAGTTCATGTAATGTTATTAAAAAAAATCAAATAGTTAAGCTATTGTTGTTAACATATTTTTAATGATCCTATTTTCAATTACAATTTGCTAATAAATTCTGAGTTATTTTATACAGTTTCAATGGAAAAAATTGTAAAATATATTTGAAATTAACTAGTTTGTGAAATCAGGATAGAACATTAATTATATATAATGCAATAAATACCTTCTTAAAGCTTGATTGGCTTTATCCATGGCAATATTTCAAGTAGAGAATTACTAAAATACAATTTAGAGAATATTGATAACAGCCAGGAAGGAAGCCACACGATATGAAAATAAGCAACTAAAGCAAAGGGACTAAAAATGACGTAATTTCTCAAAAAAGATACCAACTATTCTTTAAAATGATAATCAAATAAATTCAAAAACAAGTTGTAATAAAATTTGCATCTGGCGCCAAAATTCGCATTAATGTGACGTCACCCGAAAACAATTTATTTTGTTAAGTTTCATTTAGAATGCATACCAAATGTAAGAGTCAAAACGTAAAATAAAAAAACCTTTGAATAAGCAATGAAGATTGACAGAGCTGTCTTAAACTTAATAGGACACTTCATTAATGAACGTAAGAAGAGATCTTATTTACTTTATCACTTGAATACGAGTTAATATAACGATCAAACTTTTAATGTACCTTCATAGTAATTTATTCTCACCATAGATAGCGCTAGGGTTGTTTGACACCAATCTATATGGGTATGATATCGATACTTTTCTTCCGATACCAAGTACTTTTGATAACGATACTTTCTTTTCGATACCAAGTACAGGTATCGTATCGAATTGAAATTAAATATAAGCTTGCTATGTCTTACACACATTCAAAAATAGAAATATTGTAAAAGTAATAGAAACACTATAACACACCATTTTATATTTTACATTACATAAATAAAATAGTGACGTAATTTTAGATACCTAACAGATATCAGTTTGAAAGTAACGATCCTTCTGAGTATTCATTTCTTAGCTCATTTAAATATTATAAATTAATTCAAAACAAATAAGCTGTCCATTATTAGAATTGTCAGATACCAACCAGGTATCGATACTTCAAACTGATAATTTAATAATAGGAATACTACAACACCTCATTACCTTCTGATACTAACTAGGTGACATACTTATAGAAAAAGAAAGTATCGGTACCAATGACGTATAAATTAAATATTGGTTCCAAAGAATCTATACTTACAAGTACTCCTTTTTTAAAATTATTATTAACTTATTATTAAAAATAAACGGTATAATAGAAGTTTTCGATACCACCGAAGTATTGATGCGGCACTAATACTAGAATAAAAGTATCATTACCTACTAAGTATAAATCAAAATATCGGTTCTAAAGTAACGATATTTCCGAGTATGACTCTTACTACTTTATCGCTTATGTAACTATTTTATATTAAAATAAAGCTTCCAATATTAACTAGGTATCGGTGACATACTAATATAAAAAGAAAATATAGGTACGAATGAGATATAGATTAAAGATTGGTTCTAAAGAATCGATGCTTTCGAGTAATCATTTAAAAAAAATATTACTAACTGCTTTTAAATAAGCTATATATGAAAAGTTTCGGATACCACTGAAGTATCGATACGACAATAATACTAGAACGAAAGTATCGATACGTCTATCATTACTTTGGAACCGATTTTTTTTTATATTTGGTTGTATCGATAATTTCGTTCTAGTATTACTGTCATATCGGTACTTCGGTGGTATCGGAATTTTCTCATATACGGCTTTTTTAAAAAAAGTTAATTATAATTGAATAAAAGGAGTAATCGAAAATATCGATTATTTGGAAGCAATATTTAATTCATACTTCATTGGTGCCTCTTTTAACATAAGATAATTCTTGTTTTAGGTAAAATTTAGTAATTGTTTGATAATTATGAATTTTATTGATGTATAATTAATACTAATTATTAAAACTTGTTTTAGAATCATTCAATCCCTTTCATTGAACAATAAATAAAATAGATATTGTTTAACGATCATTAAGAATGGCTCCAAAATGAAAAGGTTACGCGTGCACATCATTAAGATTAGAGATGGGCAGTACTCGATTACATTCATGATTTGAGTAATTTTATTAGGAAAAAGTATCGAGTAGTTTCTGTACTCGGCCTGACAGCGGTGAGTACTGAGAGTACTCACGCTGCGTTAATCATGATTTAGTTAAGTACAGAAAATACTCGCGCTGTTATATCGAATTACAGAAAGTACTCAGCCTAATTCCTACAAAGAGTACTTTTTATTTTTCAACTACTCCGTCATTATTATAAAGAGTAAAAATGTTTTCTTTTATTTCCTTCAATAATAGCGGCCATATTCAACCTGACCAATTCTAACCCCCCATTAATCGATACTAGACTAACCATCATGTTTTGGGGGGCCCTTTTTTTAAAGATATACTATCGGATTTGAGATAGTGCCCCCGGGCGTCGAATTTTCATAACTTTTTCGATTTAATCGATACCAGAGCCGACTATTATATTTTGGGGGGCGCTTTTTATGAAAATGTTATCGAATTTGAAAATAGGCCCCCCGGACACCGACTTTTTTTAACTTTTTGATTTAAATAGAAAAAATAGAAAAATAACTTTATTCTGGGACACAGTCTCTTGAGAATAACAAATTAGAACAAAATTAAAATATTACATCTGGTCAAAACAAAATAAATCGAAAAAAAGAACTAATGTAAAAAAAATATAAGGTAAAAACTCTATATACAAAACAAACTAAACTATATACAAAACCATTAATACTATGACAAGAAACTTAAAGCTATTTAGACCAGTATACACTTTTCCGAAAAAAATAAAGAATTATTATTATTAAAAAACACTTTATTCAGAAATATTACAATTTGTCACAGTTAAGGACACTTATAATAGAGTTCAGAGATTGCATTCATACCGTATATACAAAAATATAAATAAATAAAGTAATAACAAAAGAATAAGAAGAAAGAACAAAAGAGTAAAGAAAAAAAAATAATATATATACACATAAGTAAATAAAAATAGAAATAAAAGTAAAACAAACACCTTATATAAAACATACATTATTTACAATTTGCCAGGTGATCTCCGAACCAATCCTTTCCCCTCCACATGTGGAGGGGAAAGGGAGGCTTAGGAGATCCCTACGCTTCTCCCTCAGCCACTTCACTGGTATTTTAAACCAGCGGAGGATGAGTAAGAGCGCTACAGCCACAGACACTCATGACTTGAGTGGAGAATCTGGCCATTGCTAGAACTCCAAAATATCCATATTTACAAAAGGTCTCGTGGCCACTGCCGCTTTAACCTACGAAGGGGATTGTAGGGATGGGTGGTGCTTGATAGGGATTGTACAACGGGATTTGGGTGATGAGAAAGGTTCTGGTGAAATTTGGAAAATTTGGCTGGGATAAGATCAAGAATAAATGGGATATTAAGGTCATGATGTAGGATTTTATTGGTTACATAGAAGGGAGCATTGACTATTGTACGGAGGACTTTAGACTGAAAGGATTGAATGCGTTTGATGTTAGAAAATTTGGCTGTTCCCCATAGTTCTAGTCCGTAAGTCCAGATGGGTTTCAGTATTGTCTTGTAGATCAGTAATTTGTTTTCACCAGAAAGTTTAGATTTTCTATTCAGTAGTCTATATAGCTGGCCATATCGTCTGTTAAGTTCCTGTCTTTTAAGTCGAGTATGTGGATTCCATGTTAGTCGTCTGTCTAAGAGAAAGCCAAGATACCGGACTGTATCTGAGAAAGGAAGCTGGATGGAGTTAAAATAAACTGGTGGGCAGGTATTACGCCGAAGGGTGAAGGTAATGTGTTTACATTTAGATTCGTTTACCTTAATGCGCCATTTCTTACACCAGTGTTCAATCAGGAAGAGGTGCCTTTGTAAGTTTGCGGACGCTGTTTCAGGATCTGAGTTGGAAGAAAGGATAGCAGTGTCATCAGCGAAAGTTGCCAGGAGGGTATCGGGATGGACAGGAATATCAGCGGTAAAGAGAATGTAAAGGATGGGGCCCAAGACGCTGCCTTGAGGAACGCCAGCCTCAATTGAGTAACAGTCGGAGAATTCGGTGCCACAGCGAACTCGGAAGGAGCGGTCGGAAAGATAGGATCGGAGTACTAGGTATAAGGACTGTGGTAGATGGATTTTAAGCTTGAAGAGTAATCCGGCGTGCCATACCCGGTCAAAAGCTTGCGCTATGTCCAGAAATGCACCCGAGCAATACTGCTTGCTTTCTAGGGTTGAGGATATATGGTCAACAACTCGGAGTCCTTGCTGGACAGTGGAATGTTGGGAACGAAATCCGAATTGATGAGTAGGAAGGTTATAGGATTCAATTATAGGTAGGATTCGTTTCAGTAGGATCTTTTCAAAAATTTTTGAGAGGATTGGGAGTAGGCTAATTGGTCTATAGGATGCTGTATTGTTGGAAGGTTTGCCTGGTTTCAAGAAGAGGACGATGGTGGAATGTTTCCATAAAAGAGGGAAGTGGGTAGTTCGTAGGATGCAATTGTATATATATGTAAGAAATATGATGGCTTTAGATGGAAGTTGTCGAAGGATCTGTGGGGTTAGAAGGTCATATCCAGGAGATTTGCGAGGTGTGATTTTCCGTAAAAGGTATTTGACCTCAGAGGGATTAACAGCTTTAGGTGGTAAGGAGAGTGGGATAGGTATTGAGAGGGATTCTTCTACTTTTACTGTGTGGCTGGGATGGGATTCTGGATGAGGAGCGAAAGTATAGGAAAGGTGTTTGGCAAATTCCTCGGCTTTATCTTCATCAGATGCTGCCCAGGAGCCATCATCTCGTCGAAGAGGGTGGGAAATATGATGGGATTTGAGGATTTTTCTGGTGATATTCCAAAGGGAATTATCATGAGCAGAGAGTGTGGTGAGGTAGGAATTGAATGATTGGGATCTGAAGGTGGCTAATTCTTTTTTTAATTTTTTACAGTGATAATTGTAGGAGTGGCGGTCGGCTGGATGTCTGGTACGTTGCCATAATAATCTGGCACGGCGTTTTATGTGGATTAGGTCAAGGAGGTGTTGAGGTAAATTATGTTTCTTAAGGATTTTTGAGGAGTGATCAGGGGAGGAAGCAGTCCAGACTGCTTCTTGAATTTTGGTAGTGAAGGAATGTACTGCATTGTCCAGGTCTTCAGAGGTTTTCAGGGTTACTCTGAGGTCAATTTTATCGGAGAGGATTTGATGAAAGAGTTTCCAGTTAACTGGGCCTCTGATGAAGGACGGAGGAGAGGGTTTAGGAATAGGAGCTAGTGATACTTGGAGTATTAATGGGCTGTGGTCTGAGGAAAGCTCGTCAAGACGGGCAACGGAATGGTTGAGAGCACCTAAACCATTATGGATAAAGAAATCGAGGATATCGGGATTACGGTTAGGATCAGTGGGCCAGTAGGTAGGTGAGTTGGGTGGAAGAAGGGTAAAATTTTGGGAATTGAGTACAGACAGCAATGTTCGACCACGAGAATTCGTGGTTCTTGAACCCCATTGTTGATGCTTGGCGTTTAAGTCTGCACCCAAGATGAAATGATGTCCTAAGGAAATGAGGAAGGAACTAAATTGGATATTGGAGATGGATTGGTTTGGAGGGCAATACGCTGATGCAACGGTAATAGGAAAGGAGA